AATTTCGCAAAGTAGATCCGACAAACTCTATATTGTAATAAATAAAAATATTTTTAAAATGCGCATCATTATTGAAGCTACTACTTAAAAACAATTAAATCGATAGCTTGGATAAAAAAAAAAGTTAAGAGCTTGCACGCACCTGTGGGTCACCCTGTAGATCATAGACCACTCTATGTAGTCTGAATTTTTCTCGTAATTATTCATCCTTCTCTCACCGTGATTTATTCGTAGCGACAGAAAAAGACAGGAAAGGGTCGCAGAGTGGTATCATAAAAAATATATGACGGACAAACATGCAACGAATGACGTGTAAAAAAGCGAGCAGCTCTTAAAATAATGAAATTTCTAGAGAAGAGTGGCAGGAATGAGGCATGCTTTTGTCTCGTCCGTATGCAGCTAAGTTTTCGCGACATTCTTCCTCTTTGATGCACCACTTTGCGGTTTCGCTCGAAACGATAATATTAATTATAAGATCATTTAGTTCTACTTTTAAAAGCACTTCTCTAAAAACGTAGATAAAGCAACTTTGAATAGAAAAATTAACTTATGAAGAAGAGATTTTTTTGAGAATCAAATTCAATTCATGTGCTATTACGAACGTTATTTGCCATTAAATATTGAACAGTCACGTTAGAGAGGCGTACACAGCAATTTTCCAAACTTTGAATAAACTGAATGCGGTTCCGAGTTATTCCGGAATTATAAACTAACATTAGCTAGAGTCGGACCGTGCTACCGGCTCGGTTAGTTAAATTAGTTTGTTTAATACGTGTTTCATACTTGTGAATACCGTGTGCATACACTGTGGCCATACACTAGAAGAGGTCAAACGCCATAACAACTTGAAAGCTAATTATTTTGCTCCATAACAAGTTTGTTTCCGACGATCAATAACCATCGGCGTATATTTCAGACACCTAAAAACAACTATTTCTGACACTTTTCCAATTAATCCTTTATGACCGCTACTTTTCCCTCCGCGATCAATGTTTCCATAACATTGAGCAGAACAGATGTGCTAAAATCAATTGCGGTACGAAATACGAAAGCTTTCAGATATAGGAACACTTCAGGCGCGGCCAAAAACTTGTACTAAATTTAGATAATCTCTGACCAAAAACAGCCCTACACATTTTATGTCACGCAACGCTTAAAACAATTCTCCGAAAAAATGTACAATTTTTTCAAACTCTAAAGAAGTTACTTAAAGAAGTTTCTCGAGAACACTCCTCTTGGATTTTGTGTACTTTGTCAAGAAAGTGAAACGAAATTAATTTGTCGGAGCCTCGAGAGGATGAAAGTTAATAAGAATGACATTCGCTCAAAATATAGGCCCCTCGTTCTGGTTGAAACGTTCTTATCTGAAATTTCAATTCATTTTCACTATGGGTTTTTTTCTTAATAATCGTCTAATTTCCCGATCGGATAAAATAAGGATTTGGCCCAACCCTCGTCGGATGTGAATTATTTTATTCAACAGATGTGAACCGATTTGCGATGAGAAATTCATCTAAAATGACTCAAGTAGCGACAGTTAGATTTTAATTTTGACTATTAAGATAGTCGTGATGCTATTTCCGGCCAATGATAATAGATCAAGTGTTTTTTTTAACTGGTTTAATTGCACTATGAGTTGGAGCATCCGTTGCAAGTCGTCACCATCTTAACCTCGCAAAGAACTCGATAATTAATTGATCCATGTGTTTGGCGACGACACATGCGGGTGACTGTTTTTATCATCCTTTCCAATTAAATCATCACTGTCATTGTGGAAAAAACGGTGCCATTAGACAATATCATCCGCCCGATTTGTGTCTCCCAATAAGGTGAGAAAGGGTAGAAAGCCACCTCTAGACTAAAGTCAATCAACAATATTTTAAATGTTGATCACCTCTTTCAATATTAAAACCCACTCACTTTACACCCTGCAGCTTCCTTTAATTATTTTATTACTAAACTGATATTTTGTGTTTCACAAGATGTCAATTAATATGGCAAATTTTTATCAGAAAAATTGACGTTTATATTAATTTTTTTAATAAAAACCAGTTTGATAATCAAATTTAAAAAAATATTAAACTAAATGTTGTTTAAATTTACTACCAACTTGTTCACAAAAATTTCACATTCGAAACCAACATTAACTTTAAAGGCTCTTTACTTATTATAAAAAAGACAACTTATAAAAATATCAGTACAATTAAGCTCACAACCTTAACATAATACAGGGTAACTTTTAAAAAACGGCAGGTACCGCAGAAGTTTTATTTAAGGCCCGATTTCCAAAAATAAAAAACTAAATTAAACAGTTTTTCGTATAAGCTGACAATTTTAGAATTTTTCTAAATGTCATAGTAAGATATCTTGGGCTATATGTATTCACCTTCCCAATTTTAAAGAGGGACCCAATTTTTTGTTTTATTAATTTGGAAGATATTAGTGTTCTTAGTACAGACATGTGCTGTACTTTTACTGAAAATTATTGTTTCAAAAGATCAAAGTTGAAAAAAATTAATACAAGTTAATAAAATCTAGTTGCATGGTGCCGATAAAAAAATTGACTTTAACAATAATTTTATTAAAAGTAAACAAAATAAATAAATAAATAATAATAAAATAAATCAGTTACACTAAATTAAATGTTTTTCTCCCTATGATAAGTAATTATTATTGTCATTTCTTATTAAATAACTAAAAAATAATGGCAATGCTTTCTTTCATTTGCAGTTTTTTTGACATTACAAGAATGGCATTGTCATTTGACAATATACAACGAAATTTTATTAACATTTGTTAATTTTTTTCAACTTTGATATTTTTTCTAACAATAACTTTTAGTAAAAGTGGAACATATTGCACATGTCTGCACCAAGAAAACTAATATAGTCGTATTGACGACGGTAGTCATGTGCGTCATCAATTTCATTTTTTCATTAACAACACAAAAGTGAAATAACAATAATTCCATCACAATGTAAATTGAAACAATTAAAGGGTCTCTAAGGATGGTAGCCTTAAATATTAATTTACATATGTACTTCAACTACACCACTTAAATGTCATGTTCGTGTGAATTTGTCAATTTGATATTGACAGTAAAATTATTGTCGTCGTTAAAAGTCTTTTTGGTATAATTTTTTTTGTTTTACATATCATTAATTTCTTTTAATAATTCCTTAGGATTAAATAACTTCCATAAAATCAGGCATAAATGCACTTGTGTTAAAAAAACTAAAAACAATCTTATAATAAATAATTCAAATCCTATTTTAGTACTTTACATATTGTGTCTGTCATAGCACAAACTACACTCTGTAAATAAAATTGTAAATATTATTTGAGATATTTGAGGTAAATATGAGCGTTGTTTAAGTCCATTATTTGATGAAGTAATTAACAGTACAAATTGAAATCGCCGCATTACTATGTCTCCCACGTAAGTGATTTTCTGATTTTCATAAGATCAGAATAAAAGCTTCTTAACGTCGATTGTTTGTTTTCAAAAGATGTAAGATGCAACTTTGTTTTGTAGACGTCTTGAATTTCAACTTTTTCCTTTCTCTTACTGGAAGAATGCAAAAGATCGTCTATAGTTTTAAACTCTTATAAAGAAGAAATTACTTGTGTTTATTCCTTATATTTATGATTTTGTATCCGTTTTCTTCCCGTTTTACCCATTTTTCTTTGTAACAGAAAATCGGTTTTACGGTGATGTACACTAAAGCTTGCGAATTTTTAGATACAACAACCAAAAACATTAATTAATTAATGGATACACTCCATGTAAAAAGTCATTTCCAATTTATTACATTAAATTTTAAATGCTTTTGCAAAGAATCGTACTCGTACAAAGCAACACTTTCATCAGATAAACAACTTCTAATTCGTATTATCCCTTTTTTTAATAAACAAATGTTATTGTCAAAATCGGGTATAAGTAGTTCATATCGCTTTAAAATGGAAAATTGAGAAATAAGATCTACATTACGTATCCAGATTTGGGGTGACCAATACATCTAGTTCATAAATTTCTTCAATTAAAGCCATACAACGAAAATTCTTTCTGATTTTGATACTGACATTTGTTTACTAAATGGAAAAGACTTTAGATGTTGAACCTAACTTTAAAAAAATGACGTTTTGTCATCGCGATGTAAACGTGGTAAAGTGAAACGTCAGATGACAACCGGTCTACCCTCGTGATTATTACTATATCTTCCAAATTATGAAGAAAAAATATGGGTTTCAATTTAAAATTAGAAAGTTGAATATACCCCAAAGTATACTATGACAATTAGAAAAAATCTAAAATTGTCAGCTTGTACTGTATTAAAAGCAATTTTTGCAACACTAATACCCTATACTGTTTCTATGGTGCATTTAAGCTTGCTGCTATGTTGTCGTTATCTATAAAGTACGTCGTCAATAGCAACGTATCTTATTAGTCTATAACACACGCTGATGCATTTTGTTGTCAATTTTGACATTTCTTTATAATAACTTCTGAATTTAGTAAAATTTCTGATTCAATATTAGTGTTGCAGAACATTTTGAAGGCAACACAAGTTTTATAGTTTAAAACTCTAGTTGTCTTAAACGCTATTAATTTATTTTTTTAATGTTTGAAATCGGGCCACAAATAAAAATTCTACGGCGCCTGCCGTTTTGTAAAAACACCCTGTATAAAAAACTGGGGGCTAACTTGACTCATCTCCATCCTCTTTCTCCATCGTCCCCAATTCCATACCTTGGGAATTTCAATTGTTTACGTATGGATATGCTCTGAGAAGAGGGCGTTATTGTCAGATCAATTGTTTGCCGTTTGTATTCGGCTGAATATCAGTTGCGGGTTCGTAAAGTTTAGTATTCCAACCCTCAGTGTGTTTATATTTGAGTTATTGGATTGTTGGGTAGCTCCAGTATTAGGTGAATCCGAGCTTGTGTGCTTTACGGAAATTAGACGCGAGCAGACTGAATTGCTGATTCTTTTGACTCACCTTGTGTGAAAGAAACCGCTACGGCCAGCATTATGGTTACTGTACAGACTGCAAAACTCAGACTGGTACCGGCAGACATCTTGTACTATTAAAACCTGTTCGTTGACCGCACAAAGCCACCACTGTATCTGTAACAAAGCAAAACAATTACATTAAAACTACGTCACTTTGGAGATAAAGTTAAACGAACAAGGCCGGCAATTCACAATTAAACCGACCCAAGCACAACTTTGCCGAAACGATTCCTCGACGGATGCACCATTTTCCTAATCGAATACTTCTCCATCGGCGCAAAAATAACCACCTGCACCAAGTTCGTCTTTTATTTCATTTCGCCCCATTGATAGCACAACTGCCAACTATTCCCATTATCATACACTTTTCTTTAACCAACAATAACGAGCAAAGTTTTTCGGTTATCGTTTCGCGGGTGCTTGGAAATGCGCCAAAAACAACACTTCGCATCCTTTCTTCATTAATATGTTACAGTGGCGTGTTTTTCACTGGGAGTTCCCAGAATTATTGGTACAGAGGGGGGCTGCTTATAGTATTCCATGGGGCAGGGTCCAGAGAGGAAAGTGACAGACTTCCTTCCCATGACACTGCGAAAGTCAAGACAGCGTTACCAAATCCTGATGTTAATTGTAACTTTTAAAGGGTTTTGGGAATTTGTGAATAAAATATATACAGGATGAATAGAAAGAAACTATGAAACCAAGCGGTTTTTTAATCATTTGCCTCCAAAAATAATAATTAATATAAATTGAAATAATATAAAAATGTAATCGTATTTTGAGAACGAAATTTTGTTGTAATTTATAAATTCCAATTTATGTAAAAAAAACTTTTTTTGGAAAAATTAAATATAAAGTAGATAGTTGTTTGTAATCCTTAGATCACAACCTTCATGAGAAAAATGGTTTTATAGTGGGTTGCCATTAAAAAAAAAAAAATTTTCTAGGATTTAAAAAAACATCAATTTCGAAAATTTTATTCTTGATAAAACATCATATTTTTATAGTATTTTATCAAAAAATTACAAAACTTTCGATTCCACACTTTTTAATCACCTGGTATGTATTTGAAAGAAGTAACTTTTTAACAAACTGTCCCTTTAAAGCAGAACAAGTGTGGTCCATTTTTTATCGAAAGTGGTTGATAAAACCTATGCAGACTGCATAAATGTTGCATTTATAATATTTCTTTTTTTATGTTTATTTTTTCCAACACTAGTACAGTGGAACTCCTTTATACCGAGTCCCGGTTATAACAAAAAATCGGATATAACGAGTAAATCGTCTGCTCCCTTACCATTTTGTATAATACTCAATGTAAAATTCCCCCTCTATAGCGAGTATTTTTCTGGAATTGAGGTGGATATAACACTACTTTTATTTTGTCCAAGATCGGTAATAGCGAGAAATTTTGAGAAATTTTGGAAACAGATCGGTTATAACGAAAATTCCTAGAAGAAATAAAAATCCTGCCAGTCTTTGTAAATCTTGTTTTGTGTGCTAGTGGCCTTATTTTTCTCACTTTCTCAGTCTTGAATAACTTTCCAAGCAGAAAACACTTTGTCTTTCTGTATTAATATGTCATCCTAGAAAAGAAAAACAATTTCTATCAAAGAAAAAATGTCAATAATAAAAGAGTTCGAAAGTAGTAAAAAACTAGCTGTAATCTGCAAAGAGAAAAATTTAGCCAGTTCTACACTGACAAAAATTTTAAAGAAAAGGGACAATATTACGAGTTCAACTGGAAATTTTTTGTCAAAAGTAAAAAAGTTACATACTGCTAAAAATGCCAACTTAGATAAAGCCGTTTTTACTTGGCTCAAAGTGAATCGCTAATTCAATATGTCCATAAGTAGGACCATGTTAAAGGAAAAAGCAGAACAATTGGCAGGAAATATTGGGGATTCTCTAGAGAATTTTTTTTTAAACAAACAAAAATTAGAGATTTTTTTTCTTAAATCTTGTGTTAAACTTCTTTAATTTTCCGTTTTAATAAATAATTTGCTTAGTACGTGTGTAAAAACTTTTATCATCCATAACTGCTTATAGCGAAAATCGGTTATAACAAGCAAATACGTTGGCTTATCTACTATGTTGCCGTTATACATATACAGCTCTTCTATAAAATAGTCGTCAATCACAACGTATTTTATAAGTGCATTTTGTCAATTTTAGCATTATTTCGACAATTTTTTTTATACCAATTTCTGAATTTAGTAAAATTTCTGATTCAATATTAATGTTAGCAAAACTTTTAAGGACACAAGTTTTATAGTTTAAAAATCTAAATCGAATTTAGACTACAATTTCGATTTTTAAACTGTCTATTATAAAACTTTTGTTATCTTAATAGCTATATTTTACATACATGACATATAAAACTGATTTCAAATATAATATTGTAATATTATTTGCAAAATTTTTAATTTTTATCTTATAAAAGCTCTTTTATACAATTTAATTAATGTAACTTGAATTAGTTCTGCTCTAAAGGGACAAAATGTCATGCACAAATTTCTATAAACAATGTTTTGTACTTAAATACTTTTTAATTAAAAAAGAACTGAAATTTTATGATAAAACGCTACTAATAGCGTTAATAATTATTCTTCTATTGGAGTATTTTAAAATAAATATATGATTATATGTATGTAGGTACACCATCATATTTTTATGTATAGGAGTGTCCTATGCGTTCCTTCCGTTTGTTCGCGTCTAAGTACTAATTTCGGTGTATCGAAATTTAGGGACGTTTTATTCCTATATTGCGACTTTTCCGTTCATTGGCTCGCAAAATCCCAGTTTTAATTATATTTTTATTATTTTCGACATTTATCGTTCAATTTACAATAAATGCTGACGTCGTAAAAATATCCCCTTAATCCTAGTCGCTTTACGAGTCATTTAATGATCTGCATATAAAAATAAAGCATTTTAACGACGCGTCCTAAATTACTTATCAAATTCTCGGTTTTATTTATGAAACGATTTCATGGAGCCCAAATGTAACCTGACCGCTACCTGTGCAGATTGTTGGGGAATTAAAAAGAAAACAAGCGTTAACGCGATGCAGTTCATGCGGAAATGAAAATAACCACAACAATGCGACGACGGGGATGAAACAGAGAACGAGAAGAAGGGGTCGAGAACGTTCACCCACTGACACGAAAGAAAGAAAACATCGGAGATGTCTAAATTGTCTTTTGTGTTCTCATATCCTAATTACAAGATATGATATCAACGCTGTTCGGGTGTCGCCAAGGATTGAAAAGATTCCATCCAGTGTCGAGTTTTCCCTTATTTTGGTTTTATCAGAGTTCGAGGGATTTTTATCGAAACGGTCCGAGTGACCGATGACTGTCTAAATCCCCTAAACGCGTTCCAGTGCATTTTCGGCTTGTACGTTGGTAGATACTGGTGCGATAAGAGCCGCGGGTTTATTTGTTATTTCGCTACTGGATTTCGAAGAGGAAATCAATGCTTCCACCTCGCAAAAACTGACACGAATCAATACTTGCGAAAACTTAATCACTAATGATTTTTTATGACTCGTTGTGAAATATTATTTTATAGCATGTTGTAAAATCAACATGAAACTATGTAATTGTGCAATCTTCTAGTTTTGGGTGGAGTCGAACACTTTTAAGACAATGCTCAAGTCACGGTTTTATGAGCTTGCCGCACCTATTTTTCGCATTAGTGGATGGAGCAAACATGTTGAGGATGCTCAGGGTGAACGGTGAGAGGAGACTGAGAAAATGGCTTCAAGTTGCACATTAAGTTTTATTTCCAAACTAGGGAATTTCTCAATGTCACAGGTTTAAATACAGATGCCTTTAGCAACATTATAAAGTGCACGAATTTTTTTGAAGCTACAATGTTTCCTAAAAAATTATTGAATATTCATAAGTCATTAAGTTATAACTCATTAGTCGAAGTTAAAGTAATAAATATTGCAAAAAATCTTTGCACCAATAATTAAACTGCTAATTTTGGAGGTTTTATTTGTTTCAAAGATTCCATATTCAAAAACAATGTAGTGGTTGTAAAAAATAAATTTAAACCACACGATTATTTCCTACCCGACTCTCGACCCTATTTTAAAAGGACATCTTCAGGGGGGCTCCAGAAAGTATCCATAGAAAAATTGTTTGTACAATTAGTGGTTCTTACCTTTTTACAAAAGTTGTGAAAAATTATAAATTACAAACTATTAACACTACGACGAATAACGAATACACGACATTAAAAATTTTTAGTCAATTATAAATAAAACCAGATATTAAATTAAAATGACAACATTACAGTACTTAAATCACTAAATATTTTGACAGTAACCGGGAATTTTGAAACATTAGACATAACCTCTAAAACAAAACTTTGAACATAAAAAACCTAAACCAATGTAGTAAGAAATAAAGAAAGCCACCGTCCGCCAATTACAAGCTATCTGAAGAAGATGTCGTACGTGGGTGCTCCTTTGATGTCAGTTTGAGCGTTCAAGCAAGCTACTTTATTTAATTTGCAGCTTCTTCTACTTTCCAACGCTTCCAAGTTGTTCAGTACAACACCCTTGTTCGCTTTATGAAGAATATTGACGCAGGTAGTCTCAGATGTTGTGTGGCCTATTTCGAGAATATGTTTTGGGAATAAAGAATCCGTTTTGTTGAGTCTAATGCTCCTAAAGTGTTCTTTTAGCCTAGCCCTAAAGTTTCTAAACGTCCTGTACTGTTGCACTCCTCAAATTTAAGTTTATAAATCCCACATTCGTCCATTTGGTCAACTTTATCTTTATGGTTATACATGTTCTACATTCGATTAGTTGTGTTGAAAAATATTTTTATATTGCTGCTCAAACACTCTTTTTATTCTGAAAGTTTGTTGTTCGTAAAGGGTAGGCTTGCGAAGGATGGTTCTTGTTGCTTCTCTATGGTGTATGCCGATTGTAACAATCTTTTGTATTCTATCTTTTCCAATAACTTGTCTATTGTTCTTTCGCTAAATCCATTACGTGTGGTTATTTTCTTAATTATGTTCTTTTCCTATTTCTGAATCAGTTGATGTTTTAGGGCTCTATGTAAGTATGATCTACAAGGGAATAATTTCTGATCTTC